AGTTGCCAGGCTCTTCCTTCCTCCCCTTCTTGAAAATAGGGACCACATTGGCCCTTTTCCAGTCCTCAGGGACTTGGCCCGAGTGCCAGGAGTCCTCAAACAGCCGTGCTAATGGCTCCCCAATGACACCAGCGAATTCCCTCAGCACCCGCGGATGAAGATCATCCGGGCGCGCCGACTTGGATACATCTAAGCCCTCCAGGTAATCCTTAACTAGGTCTGAACTAACAGTCGGGGGACTCGCATCCTTCCTGGGCCTCTCTACGCTGTCACCGGAGAGCACCCCATTGTCAGCAGACAGGAACACGGGGTCAAAGAACTTGTTGAAGAGTTCTGCCTTCTCTCATGCGTCCGTCACCAACAGCCCTGCCCTGCAGGGGTCCAATGTTACCCCAAGACTTCTTCTTGCTACCTATATACTTGAAGAAGGACTTTTTGTTATCCTTAATCCCAGAAGATAATCTAAGCTCCAGTGCTGCTTTAGCCTTCTTTACCAAATCCCTACACGCTCAGGTCAGGAAGGTGTGCTCCTCCTTTGTCCCTGCCCCCTGCTTCCAACGCCAGTATGCTTTTTTCTTTGCCCTCAGGCCAGCCTGGATATCCGCACTTAGCCATGCAGGTTTCTTGGACTCTTTTCCCACCTTCTTGCGCAGCGGAATTGCGTCCTGCTGTGCCCCAAGGATAGCCTCCTTGAGGAAGGACCACCATTCCTGGACCCCCATACTAGCTACCCCCTGGGCTCCAAGTGCCTCCCTGACCACTGCCCTGAGCACATCGAAGTTGGCTTTCCATCGAGATGCTATGAGCTAAAGCTACAAAAAGACTAAAGTGCCTCCACTTCATATAAGCGATTAAATATTCATTGCACCAGGGAATGAGAGAAAGTGAAAGAGAGCAACTCTAGAGCCATTCATATTGGGAATGGGAAACGCAGATTCCAACCCCGGCTCCAATGACTATTGTATACAAAATGCAGTAATTTCAAACTGGAGAAATGGAGTGACCTATCCCTAGAGTCTTGTCACTCGTATTTTTGTGTGAGGTGGGAGGAATGGGTTCATCTCCCTGTGTCAAATCAGTTGAAGTGGGGATATGTAAACAGGTCTCCAATATCCCACGCAAGTACCCCAAACACTAGGCTATTTTGTGATTGAGAAAAGTTTCTCTTTCCCTACAAAAGGGCTGTCCTAACTTAGATGTACAAATATCCCTAATTTCCTTCCACAAATGAACAATAACCTGAGCAGACAGAGCTCTATCAGGAAATCTAAAGAAAGCTAGTAGCATCTCTGTCTTCTCTTCAGTCCTGAGGATACCTTGTGGAGATTAGGCTATAGGAGGCTTTGGAAAAAAAAGGACCATGGATGAGTAGGAAAGGAGTCACTATCTGTGCCATTCCCAGTTCTCAGAACCAGTGCTTCTTAAAGTACCTACATTTAGGGCCCCATCAGGAGAGTTTTTCCACACAAGATAAAGGAGTTTGTTGCCAAGGGCAGATTCCCCACCTATGCATTACTGGTGTACCTATCCCAGGGCTCAACACCATCAAAGATAGTCAGTTGAAAACTTCACCATATGAAAAGAACAAATGTGGGCTGTTTATTATTGATGGTAGAGACAAATGATTGCAAATTTTTGGAAATATACAGGCTATTCCACTTCAAAATGGAAAAGATCTGATGGAAGCAAACATCATTACATATTATTATATTTATATAGCTCCAAAACTTAAACTAGATATTTGAGACCAGAGATTCAGTTGGTATAAATTAATATAGCTCCAACATCTTTAATTGGGTTAAAATGACAGCCAGATCCTGATTTTTAACTACCACCTCTTATGTATTCTCTCTTTCTTAAAGAAAGTAAATTCTCCTGTTAAATGAACATGAGAGAATATTTATGATATTCATTTGGACTGACTTTAAAGAAACCGAAGTAAAACTGATAGATTTTGCAGGTATCCGAATCCTGAGTAGAAGTCTCCACCATCAACATTATGGCCAGGGATGCAACACTATTTGTTCCTGGGCCATTTCATCTACCTTTTTTTGAAGGCCTTTCAGACAAAGGCAGCATCCTGTAGACCCTGAAGGCATTGTTTCCTTTCTTTATACTTTTGTCTTTCACTTCTTCTATGTCAGGCAAAGAGTTCATAGCACACCGGAAGTTTGCCTTCCATGTTTTTGGATCAGGTTTATCAACTCCTTGTTGAAATTTTCCTAACAAACATGAAAAGAAAATTAGGTATATATTGACAAGTCATAAGATCTTAGAGAAAGCTAGTAGTACTGTGAGTTAAGTGTCAGTGTACAAGCCTTTTGGTACTGGTTATAGGAGCTCAAACCATAGTTCGAGTTGCAAGAGAAAGTGAATTTGGTGATCTCATCCTCATGCTTATCTTTAGAACATATGATTGACAGTTTCTAATCAAGAAACACCCAGGGCAAGAATAGTCTGGGCACTGCATGTCAAATGCAATGTTACACCAGTGTGAGACAGCTTGCGCAGCATTTACTATTATTGTGCACTGCTCGAATCCCTAAGGGCATAAAGGACCCAGTTCTGCAAGATGTGGGATAGTCTCTGATTCTACTGATTTTGAACCCAGACTTGTCAATGATGTTTCATCGCTGCCTTCAATGCTAGCAACACACAACCCCTTAACAAAGCTGGAGAGAACCTTGCAAGAGTCACTTTGCAGACTCAGATCCTTACACTCATTTACTCCATTTGTCAAAACAAACAAATGAAAGGAAAGAAAAACTGGGAAGGAAGAAGAAACAAATATTCAAAGACTGGCCATCAGAAAGGAGAGCTCCAGTACCTGTGTGAATTGCCCAGTTTCTAAATAAAGGAGCATCTTTTTCAACATCCCACCCATGCCGTGCAGCATGCATCCAGGGAATCTGAAAAATCTTCTTCTCCTGGAAAAGAAAGGAAACAAAAATAGCAACTCTGATTGCCTCTTTGATTTTCTGATCGTTTCAAACACACGCACCTACAGCTCCAGCATCTGTAAATGTTTTACTTTATTTGATCCCTTACAGCAGAATCCTTTTGTTACTATTGTCATCATCAAAACACTTACCGGAGTCAGCATGAGCAGGATGTGGCCCTAAGTATATTAAAACCACAGATACCCCTTTACGGGCTTAAAAAAAATGAGGCAGCTTTGCAAATGGAAACATGTACAAAACATGCTGCAGCACATTTGTAAACATTCCTATGAGTATTCTTTTGGCAGTGCAGAACTTGTTTTTTTTTTACAATTACGAATCAAGTACAAAGACAAATATTCATATGAGTAACAGTAACTGGAGGGGCTAAAAATTCAGCCAGTGAAATACCAGCACAATAAGAAATTAAGACATTTAAAACTGGGTAAGGTAAGCTTATAGGACACAATAAGGAAGTGAAGTGTACAAGACTCCTCCATAACAGAAGTCAAAGGTTACTGAGGTAGGAAGGAACTAGGATGTATACAGGAGGGGGGCTCTAGTTGGTGTGGGAAGGATTAAGGACTTGTGTACTCATTTTAGATCATTCAGTTGTATTCCTTGCAGGACACAGGAATGTACTCTTTTTCCTGCTGTCAAGGTTACAGTTGAGAACACTACCATGCTTTATGAATTTCTGCAAAGTCATCTAAAAATTAACTCACTCTGTAGTTCCTGGGTTTTGCTCTTCTCTTCCTTCCACACCATTGTCTTTCCTCTTCTGTCTCTCCTCCTAGACTGCTTGTGTGCGCTCTCTCTTAGACTAACAAATCTATAAATGTAAAGTTTTGTTTTTTCTTCTTTATTCATCTTTGCGTGACACTTTCTTTTCTGATTCTACCTTTTATGCCAGCTTCTGCTTCTTCCATTCAATTTTTACTCCCCTTTATTATCCCCTCCTATTTCTATTCTCCCCTTCATATTTTTTCTGTTCTTAAGTAAAACCAGAGGTTTAACATGGCATCCCCCTTTCAGAACCTTTTTTTGCAACTTTTTACTCTATTCTCCTCACTTTCTATTCCTTTGCACCCTCCTTTCATTTATTCCGCTTGCACTTCAGGTCTTAATGCCTCTATGGTCATTCTAACCCTCAGCATCTTGGTAGGAAGCAAAGTAACCCAGAAAAGCAGGGTATAGCAACATCTCATAAAGTGTCTCAAAAAAAACAAAACAAAACAGGATTTAGCAATCCCATGTCAGAGCTGACACAAACCTCTTCTTTAAGAACACACACTGGTGTCAGTCTCTCTCCAAGCTAAAAGAAGTACCAGAAGGACATTTGGTCAAGCAGCACGGGAAAGTTAACTTACTGAATAAAATTGACAAAAACAATACTGGAATCAAAACTTGAAATAAGCCATGAAAACACCTGCTTGGTGTGACCAGCTTGGTTTTCAAATGGAAAATATATATTTTTACCTCTGAATCTTCCTTTCAAATCCATTGTGTTAATTTACCAGCCCAAACATAAGATCCATTTGACTATATTTATTCTAACAAAAATATTAATATTATGAATTTCTTGCCTGTTAAAAAAAATACCTGTCCCAGATGAACAAATGGATTTTTACAGGTTGGTATAAATATATAATTACCCACTTCTTTATTTTGCATAGTATTTACTATGCACTTTCTAGATTAATCAATAAAACATTAGTCAGGTATGATCCTAAAAGACACAGGAAATGTCACTAAGCTCATTTTACAGAAAAGTCTTATGCCATTTAGCAATTCTAGGAAACAAACAGGGTTCTAGATAATCTAAATTCTATTGGAATTAATAAAAATCTAGAAACGTTATTAAAATTGAGCAGCTCCTCCTCTCCCCCCCTCAACCCTATCCCATTGTACAGTAGGAATACAACTGGCCACTGTATAATATTCTACAACGGGGCTGTCAACCATGGGTACACAGGGGCACTTCCAATTTTGCCGTTGGTGCTTCCGATTTTGCACCCCCATGGACTGGCTGCCGGGGGGACACCCTCTCCCCCCCTCCCCCCCATTTTCCAGAACATTTTCCAGCGCTTTATTTTTCTGTGGGAAATTTTCCATTTCTAAAAATTCATTGTTTCATAAGATTCATTAGTAACACTGAATGGATGCCAAGACAATATTAGGTAAGATTAGCAGTTTGAAAGTTGTAATTTATGTTTTTCAGGTGATTATCCCTAGAAAGTGTGTGAGAGAGTATGTATATGTTTCACTGATTTGTAAACAGGAGGGTGAATACACTCACATAATAATCCAGACCAAAAATCAAGTTATGAATTCACCTAATTGGCTATGCAGGTCAAATCAAAACCAAAGCTAAAGATCTTATTTCATCTTAGACTGCAAGTGAAAATAAAACCAAAACTAAAACAGTGATTAATTTTTGTTTAGATAAATAGTTAACTATTTCAACCCAGCAAACCGAGCTTAGTCCTCTGGCTGATGGCAGAGGCCAGACTATACTTCCCTTTGGCTCTGCAACTAAGCAGCAAGTTGAGCAGCAGAATGCTGTTTCTGGCAGGGAGGGGGGAAGCAAGCTCCTGCTGCTTCTCCTTCTCCTTCTGATGGATGAGGCCAGACTAGAATAGGCTAAAATAAAAATCTTTTCCCCCTTTTGTTGCAGGAGCTTGGTAGCTCAAGTGAAATACCAGATTTGCAAAAAATGAAAAATGAAAATGTTGAGCTGCCAGGTCTGGGAGAAGAAGCAGCAGGATCCTCGCTTTCAAGATCACTGTCAACAGATATGTGATCCACCATGAGCAGCTGTTCAAGACAGTCAAGCTTTTTATCAAGCTTTGTGGACAAAATGTCAAAAGATGATCAAGGAAAAGCAGATGAGACATTAGCTTGAGCTATATTTGCAAGTGGTACACCTCTTTCCATAACAAAAAATCAATACTGGAAGGAACATTACAAACTAATTCACCCATCATATAAGTTACTGTCACATTATCGCTCATTACATTCTCTCTTAGATAGACAGAAAGACAGAGTTCAAACAATGGTTATTCAAAGGACTGGTTAAGCAGAATCACTGACTCTGATGTCAGATGGATGGACTGATATACAAGGAACATTATGCTAGCAACACCTGAACCAATATTCCTGAAAGCAATTGCTACTGAATCTTCTCATCATACAGGTGAATACATAGCCAAACTACTGAGTGAAGAGATTGGAAGCGCAGGTCCTGCTAGGGTACAAGCCCTTGTAACTGATAATGCAAGTAACATGAAAGCTGCATGGAAAATATTAAAGGCAAAGTATCCTCATTTAATAGCATTTGGCTGTCTCTTGCTTATGGGTTGAATCTTTTGGCAAAGGACATAGTAAGTGTGAATACAATGAAGACAGTATTGGCAAACTGCAAAGCAATTGTGAAGGTATTCAACAATCATCATGTTGCTAATCAGACTTCGAAGAAATTACAGAAAGAGAAGCAGGGAAAGGAAAGAAATCATTTTAGAACCAAGAGTTCTAGTTTTTTGTATGTCTTTTTGTCTCAGACCAACACAGCTACCAAGTACACCCCAGGGAAAGGAAAGTGCACTTTTATTGCCAAGAGAAACTAGATGGGGTTCAGCTATGAAGTGTTTACCTAGTTTGCTGTGCACAAAGAAGTGTTTGCAGTGTGCTTCAATAGATGACACAGTATCCCAGATTATTCCCGTGAACATTCAGAAGCAGATTCTCGACAAAGATGTGTTCTGGGTTTGAGTTCAAGGAGCATTCAATTTGCTACAACCAGTTTCAGTGGCTATCAAGAAACCTGAAGGAGGTGCACGAAGCCTTTCAAATATTTGAGAGATATTCAGACAACTGAATGAAAATCTAATCGAGCGTTTGCCTTCTTCACCTCTATCCAAAAAAGAAGTAGTAGTAAAACAAATGTTTACTAAGAGATCTGAGTTTTGCTCTCATCCAGTTCATCTGGCAGCAAACCTTTTGGATCCTCAACACAGCAGACAACATTTATCAGAAGATGAATTATCTGCTGCTCTCAATACAGTTGTGGAAGTAGCTAAGAACGTCCCTAACATTGATGGAATAGCTGTGATGACAAACATTGCTGAGTACCATACAAAAGAAAAACTTTGGAGCAAAGACATCATTTGGCAGGCAGCCGAGAATGTGTCTCCTCTCACATGGTACAAGGGATATGGTAACATCTGCCTGTTGTCCAGGATTGCTCTAAGGATCCTAAGCATTCCACCAACAGCAGCTTCTTGTGAACAGAACTGGAAGGCTTTCAGCTCAATCAAGACAAAAAAAGAGGAATAGACTAGCAAATTAATGCACCACTAAGCTTGTTTCTATTTCTCAAAATCTCTCGCTTCTGGAGAATCAGTCAGAAGCACAATTAGTGAAGAAGATGCAGTGTGATGATAAGCTGCCCTTGCCCATAGACTCATTGGTAAAGCCATCCTTTAACAAAAGAGAATGTGGTTCAAGTAGCTCTAAATCAGATTTGCCTCAATCTGATTCTAAAATGGAACTAATAAGTAGTGTAAGTGATTCTACAGATAGTGACAGTGAAACTAGAGGTGCTGCAATGACCTCAGTGGAAGAGAGTAACTCTGTTCAAGTAGATGAGTGGACAACCACAGCATATCACGCACAGTTCTTTGGGCGTGCTAAAATTAGTTTATCCACAGTTTTCAGTGTCTTCATGTTTTTCTTAAATTTAAACAAACAATGTAAGGGAAGTACATGCTATTGTGTATTGTCTTTACATTTTTACAAGTATTCCAATAAAAATAATTTCTTTCCACATAAAGCTTTGAATTTGTTTCAATATAACATTTAAACCACTTTAAACCATTAAGTGTGCTGTATTCTATTTTTTTCCTAATCAAATATTTCAGTTCAAATACTTGTGGCTATTGGGACATAAAATTAACATGGGGGTACTTTTTGAGTTTTGTTTACTAAATAAGTCAAATAAACATGCTAAATCAGATCACGCTCTATTTAAGACATTGGAAAATTTTCCGGAAAACTCACATCTCTGGGGACAAAAAGCCCTTCAATAAGCAATTTTCTAACCATCTGCCTACAGGGGAAAGTTTTTCCTAACTCCAAACAGTTTGTGTCCTGTAGCTGAAAGATTTATATCAGTTAAAATGAAAAACAATCCTAACTAGAAAATAGCTACAAATTTTCTCATTAGTCTTAAAAATGTCTAATTCATTCTTTCATTTTTCTAATCACCTTACTCTACAAGGATATCTTGTGGTTATAAGCTCCACAAAAGGGGGTGGGGAGAAAGAGAGAGAATTTCTTTTTTTCAGTTTTAAATGTGTTGCTTCTATTTTTATAGCGAGAGTAGTATAACTGGCCGGGGGGCAGGGAAAGGAGGGGAGAAAGGGAAGGACAGCCGGTGTAACTAAGGCAGCAGCCCAGGCACCACTACAGAGGTGTCAGAACAGCAGTCCCCAGGGGGGCTCTGTCACCACCACAGCCCATGTTGGGGGAGCTTGAACTGAGGCAATAGCAGCCGGTGCTCTGCCACTGCCACCGCCCACATGCGAGGATAAGCCTTTTTCTTAGTCATGCCTGCAACCCTTGATCCTACATCAGAACCATGCAGCTTCCCAGCTCCCAGCCCAGCTCTTCTTTCTTGCTGGAGAACCACTCCTCCATCCCTACTGCTTTGAAAAGGGGCAATGAGTCACCCACAGCAGTGGATCCTAAGGCACATTTAATTCTTTTCATCAGGATCAACAACAGGGAAGAGAAGTCACTGATTTTTGCATTGTTTCAAAGTATAAATGGAGCACCTACATTATGTTCTCTGTATCAAGATACATCAGTGAGCCTTTTTTTATCAACTGACTCTCTGGGCAGTTCCAGTCTTTCCTCCTTTGGATTTGGAGAGATTTGGAAAGATTTGGCAATTAGAACATAGACACAACTTTAAATGTTTTTTCTACATACCTCTACGTAGCAGGTGGCTCGTGAATGCTGAGATGCTGGGGCAGATAGAGTGTCCCACAGAAGTGCGGGGGCTCCCCAGTGTGCTCAGCAACAGACCTGGAAGTGGACCAGAAGCACGCAGGGAGGGTCCCCCCACACCCTCCTGGCTTGGCGACTGGTGCCTCCTCCTGGGTCTGGGGGGACACCTGGGGTGCCCCCGCAGCCGATCGCTGAACTGGGGGGAATGCAGGAG